TTCTATACATGATTTTTCTAAAATGGACCTAATTTGAGATATTCGATGAAAAGTGCAAATTTCGAATTTTGAAGATAACTCAAAAACGGATGAAGAGAAAAACACCAAATTTTAAACTTAAGCTTTAATCTATCCTGCGATGAGCTGATTAAAGTTTGGGCACAGTCAAAGCATTTGGGGAATACTTTACAGGGTGCCGTTTTTTTACTTTAAGAAAATAAATAGTCTGGACCGAATTTTCTTAGGCAACCCATTTGCGGTATATTTAAAAACATATTTTATTTAATAAAAAAAAACTTTCATCCGGTAAACAGATGGGTGAAGGTCGACCTTATTTCGGATCTTAGACTATTACTAAGATAAATACGAAAATGAAATGACGTCACTCTAAATTTAATGTGGAGGAACCATATATAATTCATTACGACATGGCTACTGCTCTCATAGTTAGATTTTTCTTCTTTTTAGAGCATTTACATAAAAGCTTGTTTTTACTATTAATTTTTATAAATTAATATAAGACTATTTATCACTATTAAACTTTACATTAGATGTCATATTATTTTTTAAGATTTATCAAAAAAAATTAATGATACAAAAAATATTTCTAAAGAAAATATATTTTTGAAAAAAAAATGAAAATTTTCAGCGTAGGCTCTGAACATTTATAGTGTGAGACTTTCACGCCTTGTAGCGACCTAACCGGATGATTTTGGATATAGGTAAATTGGTTTAAATCATCTTATTTTTTAACCCAAGAGTCTATCTATAATTATGCTATGTCCTAATCTTTAAGAGACACCCTATATATGTCATTAATTGTGTGTTGTAACATGTCTTATACGAGATGGGATGGGATCTACCATGAGAACTCAGGGAGGACACAGAATATGTGAAGAGGAGGACGAAACTCCTATTCACATACTATGCCACTGCCGGAACCTTAAATGGGAACGGGAATGGTACTTCGGGGTACAATATCCGGAACCTGAAGAAATCGCGAAAGCGCCCATCAGACATATTCTTGAATTCATCAAGAAAATCAATCTGATGGGATAGAAACTGTGAGGGGTACAATAAGCCTAGAGCTTCAGTACAAGTGGGCTTTGAACCACGCCCTAATTCAGATGATGATGATATACGAGAAAATTTTTGTTACTAGAGAAATTTATAATCAGTCCCCCGTCATTATAAACCTAAATGTAATAGTCATTAGATTATTTAAATATAATTTAAATGTGACATTCGTTATCGCTATCGAAACTTTTTGCAATGTTCTAAAAGACACTAAAGTACTATTGAAGACATATTAAAAGAGAAAGGGTTAGTTGTAAATAGGTTTAGAATATTTAAGGAAAAACAGAAAGCGGCCTCGCATCGTTACATTATTCACTTGTGAGAAGTAAACTCGAATATTGCTCGATTATCTGGAACGCCTAACAGAATAAATACATACTTGAGAAAGTTCAGAAAATATTTTTAAAATTTGCATGGTCCGTTATAGGATTTGATAAAATAAATGCCGTATTAGCAGTAATTTAATTTCTGTTGACATAGCATCCGGATTACAAATAGCCATGCACGTGGATTTATAGCATATGCGCATTTTGTCAACAAGTTACTGCGCATCGAAACTGGCGTACGTCCGTTTTACAATAACACAATTATATATAAAATATAAAGAAAACAGAATAATTACAAAATATCTCAATAAAAATGCGTTATTAACTTGCCAAAAGTAACAGTTTCACATTTTTTTTTATTTATCAATCGTAAAATTGAAAAAATATGAATTTATTCAATTATTTGTACAATGTAAACCTGGCTTTGGATAACAAAACCCAAATCTCGTTAATGCTCGAGTCGACTCGATAAACGAAACCCGAATGATACAAGTTTTACTTTTATTTAATACAGTTTTAGGCATAAATTTAGTAATAATTTACTGTGAGTAAACTTATTTTGATACTTTTGCATGTCTATGTCCTATAAATGCATATATTTGGCTTTGGATAACAAAACCCAAATCTCGTTAATGCTCGAGTCGACTCGATAAACGAAACCCGAATGATACAAAATACAATATGGCTGTCGATGTAAACAATTCTAAGTGAGTTTTACTTTTATTTAATACAGTTTTAGGCATAAATTTAGTAATAATTTACTGTAAGTAAACTTATTTTGATACTTTTGCATGTCTATGTCCTATAAATGCATATATTTGATTGTAATAGTAAATTGTTCTGGCTCATTTACACTGTTTTAGAAGAAACATTTTCATTTTATTGTCAACTGAAAAAAGGATTATTATTCGTATTCGTAATTATGTTATCCCCAAATATTGAAATCCTTAACAAAGTTTTAATTCTGATATTCATTTTGATAATTATCCTAGATATGCCAATTTAATTGTATGTATTATAACCAAACTTTTTAATCTTTATAAATCTAAAGTATTTTCATTACATAAAGCAAGAAAATCTTAATTAGACGTTATAGAAATTAGAAGTAGTAAATTAAAAATTAGTTAAATCGCTGCAAATGCAAAAGTAATTAGTCACATACAATCAAAATCATGTGCTTTAGGAAGTTTTTCGCTTTCAACAATTGTTTTTTTTTTTTTTTCGTTTCAGGATTTATGGATGGAACTCCTGTTTTATTTCGCACGATTAAAGAAAAATTTTGTTCGTTTTCTGTTATTTAAAATAGTTGTTTATTCAGAAATTATATATTATGTTTATTGTTGTAACCAATAAAGATTCAACAAATAATATTTAGTTATAATACAATTTTGTATTATTTATTTTATACCTCTAAAATTATTTAACATAAACTTTTACATTTTTATTAGAATTTTTTAACACGCATGAGATGCGTGTTAAAAAAATGCTATTAAAAATGTAAAATTCTTATATTTTGTCGAAGTAAGTTCAAAAGCCCGCCAATTTTCAAATTAAATTATCATTACAGCTTTTTATATTACCGACTGAGTATTAGTTGCACAAAACTATCCCACATGTCGCTGAAGGCAAACATGTTGCCATATTTATACAAAGAAACGGCAACTCTTAATTATCCTTCCTCCATGTAGCCATGAGTTACCGTTTCAATGATGGTGGGTGAGGTTTTTCGGGTTTTCCTCACCTGTAAATCAGATGGCACCATCAATCATCTTTAAGTCGTAAATAATAATAGTTGTCCCTTCCTCACACAAACTCAGTCGGCTTCAGGGGTTGAAATTTACTCATAAGAGGGTGAATTAGAAAGAGTATTTTAATATTATAACTAGAATGAAGATGTATAATGCTTGGCATTCTATATTACTCTTTATAGTTTAATAGACCCCTCCCCTTAATCCCCACTTTCAATCAGATTTTTTTGATAATCAATAGGCTTCATCTTCTTATAAAGCTTGATTTTTCTAAAGATTTCAATTTGATATCGTTTTTTGATTCTAAGTTAGGATTTTTTTTTAATATTTCAACCCCCCTTATCACCCTATTTTTATTGAGCCTTTTTTTTTAGAATCAATAGGCTTTATTCATTCCCTTCTAGAGCTTGAATTTTGCTAATAATTTCAAGTTGATAGTATCTTTCGTTTTTTAAATATTTTACCCCCCTCAACCCCCCATTTTTATTCAGATTTTTTCACAATCAATAGGTTTCATCTCCTTATAGAGCTTTATTTTTTAAAATTTCATGTTGATATCGCTTTTCGTTTTTGATTGATGATTTTTTTTTTATTTCAACCGCCCTTAATTTAATAAAAATTTTTCCAAATCAAAAGGCTTTGTCTCCCTATAGAGCCTCGATTTTTACGAAAATTTTAAGTTGATATCATTTTTCGTTTTTGAGTTAGGATTTCCCCCATTTTTTTCATATTTTCATATTTTTTTTTCAAATTCAGTAAATTTCTTCCCCTTATAGAACTTAATTTTTCCTGAAATTTTCAAGTTTATATCATTTTTCGTTTATGACGGACCAAAAACGTGACATAGGAAGGACGTACGAAAATTTTTAATTTAAATTTAGGCCTTTATACAATAATCCTTAGTAGTAATAGGAAAAATATAAGAATTACTACTAATTACTACTGAGGATTATTGTATGTATCAATTAAATAAATGTAAATAAAATTTATTTTCTAAGCGAATATCTTTGAAATTCCCCAAGCGTCATACCTTTTTTGAATCAGCTTATTCGACTTGACCTAAAAACATCACAAAATACAGGGTGTTACATTTAAAAAAATTGCCGATGACGCCATCACCTTAATGTGTATCACCCTGTATAATGAAATTTTCTTGTAAAATATAGAACATTAAAATTAAAAATCGACGTGTTTCAGACTTTTTTGAAAATGCTTTTAGTTTAGGAAATATTAACTTTATTCCATACTCTACGGACACACTGTATACACCTGTAAATGGACTGGATGAAGGTATTATTATTAAATAAATATTTGTTGTTGGTGGACTGTTAGCGAACAAAAAGAACTTTGACAGTATCAGTATTACTATGCCGGGAACGATGTTCGACATTCATATATTCATAGCCACCCTGGCTTTAAAAAGAAACTGAATAGCTTATAAAATTGATATCCTAATTTTGCTTACTAATAATTTTTTATCAATATAAATATTTTAATTTCGGATTCTATGAAATATGACATTTGTTTATTTGTTTACCACTGTTTTCTATTATTAAAATAATAAAGAGTAATCCACAAAAAATGTTTCTAAAGTAGATCACGATCGACAAAGACAGAAATACAAGCCATGTCCGTGATAACTACGCACAGCCCTCAATTAAATCCAAACTAACACTTAAAAAGAAGATAGATTGTACGCTTGACATACGTGAATTTTTCCAAGGCCTACTTTAGAAATATTTTTTTGTATATCACTTCTTATTTTGTAATAGTAAATAAAAAATTATTTAGTATTATGATTCGATGAAAAATATTTTTGAACTAAATGAACTTTTATTTATGATTTCAGATCGCCGCTGCGGTGGTTTTAGCATGTCAGTGCCTTCGATGGTACATCGATCCGGCGGTTCTCTGATAGTGCGCAGCCTAGTCAGCGGGGACGCTCTGTATGATCGCACCGACGTCGTCGACAACAACCTCCTCGACGACGACCACGACGTCTACGTGGACGACGACGACTACGACGCCGAAGCACCACCGGGAAATCACGAAGAGCAGATCCGCGCTTCGAACAAAGACTTGCCCGATTGCAAAGTAAAAAGAAACTACACGTGCGTCGGCTGCGACTTTTTCACGCAGAATCCCCGCGTTTATCTGTACCATTTGCGCGATGTCCATCAGGAGAAAGTGAAGATATACGAGTGCCCTAACTGCCTGTACGCCTCGAAACACTTCCAGAAGCTGCTGCGGCACACGAAGATGGTGCACGACGACGCGCCGTCCCCGAAGAAGGCGCTCGCGGATGAGGCGGCGGCCGATGAGGAGTTGGCGGAGGCAGCTGCAGCGGCGTCGCAACAGTCGGTGTTCAAGTGCTCGGTGTGTCCGTTTACTAGCAAAGCGGCCGCCGCGCTCGCTAAACACGAACGCGAAGAGCACATTAAAACGAAGTTCTTCCGATGTTCCAAGTGCACTTATGTAACGCACATCAAGGCGCGTTACACGAAACACGTCAAGTACCATTCGATGCCGATGATCAAGTGTGAAATGTGCGATTTCAGAACGCCCTACAAATGGAACCTGGACAGGCATTGCAAGAACCACAACGGGCACGGCGCCTTTAAGTGTTCGGCTTGCAATTTCACCGCGGATATCAAACAGAGTTTGACCGTTCACGAGATGAACCACCACGTGCCGCCGGTGGGCCAGGCGGCGGGATTGGGAGTCGGGAGACGGCGCAATAAGGTCGGCGCCAGCGACACTACCCTCGCCGAAGAGATCGGAGGACAGGCGCAAACTCAGGTGAGCGTTTTTTTTTTGTTCTACATACTTTCATGCTTTCCACCTTCCCTACCTTATTTAAAATTTTACTTGTTCGAAAAGTTAATACACCTGGACCATAGTAATTGCGCGGTCATGCATTTTCGTAATTGTGTTCTTATTGACTACAGCTAAATTTAAAAAATAAATAATTTGTAGATGGCGTTCTTAATTTAAATTTAAATTTTCCTTTCAAAAATAAACCGTTTCCAAAAATAAATTTGCGCGGTTGTTTACAGGCGCATACTACCTGTAATATCTATTTTTCCGTCAATACCGTCATTTAAAAGGGAGATCAAGAGATAACTTCTACAGTATTAACAAAAAATATATTTATTTTATAAAAAATTAATGCCTACATCGGAGATATCCAATAGCCCATTACACAGCTTCTAAAATAAATTAGAATCGACAGATAGCCTGAAAACATATAGTTTAAATTTTATAAAAAATGATAAACCTCAACCCAATCATTACAAAATTGTCATTATATATAGTGTAGCTAAGTTGCATAAATGTATTTTTGTATTTCGTTTTAAAAACTTTTCTTTATAAAGTTAACACAATTGAAGACACAAGTAGATAAAGGTGGCATGTCACAATTTTTCAAAAAATGATTTTTATGGCCTAATATACTTAAAATACTATATTTTTAGTTTGTGATAGTTCTGATTTCCAATTTTAATAAAAAAGGAAACGGCTATTCATCAGATCGGAAGGTATCATGAGCCATATATCATAATGCATTTGTAAAACTTTAAAAACTTGTTTTTCTCGAAATAATCTTTATCCACTCGTGTGTTTAATTGTATTTTGATTGATAATAAGAATAAGTTATTTTATTTATTATCCAAATAACCCTATTGGTCTAATTACAAGGATTTTATCTGTCAAAATAGTAACATTTTGTGGTTACAAATCATAAGAGCTTGCGATCCTAACCAATCACTGAGTACTGAGTACTGATTAAGGGTGAGATTACAGAACGTCTGCAACTTTGCAGATCTGCAAATATGGCGGCAACTTTGCAGATCTGCAAATATGGCGGACTTACATATGCGTGTATGAAGTTTTCGTATTCCAAAAAAGATCTGCAAATTCGCAATATTTATTGTGGTTTATTACCCCCAACAACACTAAACCCAAATCCATTACTATGTTTAAAAACTCTATAATCTGACACCATGAACTGTATTCAATCAAAAGAAACAGAAGACTTCATGGTTGTAGGATGTTCTAACCTTCTTAAGGGTGGATTTGGATTTAGTGTTGTTAGGGGTAATAAATATTGCGAATTTGCAGATATTTTTTGGATATTTGCATCTGTAAGTCCGCCATATTTAAAGATCTGCAAAGTTGCCGCTATATTTGCAGATCTGCAAAGTTCATTTATAGTTTATTTTCAAAAGTTGTTTTTTAAATAAAATAAACATTGTTTATTAAGTTTTATTTTAATTACTTACATTAAAGTTTTATTCAATAAAGTTTTTTGTGTTTTATCACATATATGATTTGTATATGAAAAATGTATAGTTTGATGTAGCGGGCTAAATTGGTAAAGAGACAAAGGGCCAAGAAGATGACAATGGCGGGCCGCGCAAGCGGGCCGTATGTTATGCAGGCCTGACCTGCACCATTCACTTCATACTATACGAACTAGAATGAAGATATATAATGCTTGACATTCTATATGATACGCTTTCCAGTTAAACAAACCCCCTTTTAACCCCCCATTTTTAATCAGATTTTTTTTAAAATCAATAGGCTTCGTCCCATTGTAAAGCTTGATTTTCCTGAAAATTTCAAGTTGATATTGTTTTCTGTTTTTGATTTATGATTTTATTTTTAATTTTAACCCCCTTTATCCCCCATTTTGTATCAGATTTTTAAAAAAATCGATGGGTTTTGTCCCATTGCAGAGCTTGATTTTTCCTAAAAATTTCAAGTTGTTATTGTTTTTCTTAACCCCCCCATTTTTATTCAGATTTTTTTTAAATGAATAATCTTCGTTCAATTGTAGAGCTTGATTTTTCCTGAATATATCAAGTTGATATTGTTTTTCGTTTTTGTTTTTTATTTTTTTTAAGTTTTAATCCCCCCTTAACCTCTCCATTTTAATCAGATATTTTGATATTGTTATATCATAAAACCTAATTTATAATAAAAAATAATATAAAAAAAGTATAAATTGTAAGAAAAGACACCCCAATTGTACCCAAGGTAATATTAAAACTTAATATAAAAAATAAAATTAAAACAAATGTTTAAATTAACAAACTAACAAAAATAACAATGTTAAAAGGAAAAAATGTCTTTTAAATAAATACCATACTGAAGAAGGCACTGATCAGTGCCGAAAGCTTTAAACCAAATACACATTATTTTCATTTAAAAACCATCCGAATACAATCTACAAGCACTAAAAATTCAAGAACCTACCATAAAATTATAAACTAAGGTGCAAGAATTTAAAACAAAAGAAAGTACTATTATTAAAAATTTTGGTTTCTTGAAAATAAACCTATAATACTCTTCACAGACTAGTGTGTGAAGAGCATAATGAGGATAGTAAGATTTTTAATTAAGTTTATCAATAATAAACGTTAGGTACCTGCAATTTCATTTAAATCACATAATAGTAAATAAAATATTTGTAGATGTTTGTGTAGCATCCAGATAAGTGTTCATAGGACCAGAACCATTCCTGGGCATTGCAAAAAGCACTGCCAAAAGAATTATCTCAAAATGGAAGGAGGGTGCGACACTCACGAACTGGAGAGATACCCCAGGGCTAATCCATTCGAAGGCGTTTATAAACAACCCTTCCATGAACGCCTCTGCTCAGATCCGAGAATGGAGTAGGAGAGATCTACGCATTTTCACTGGACTGATGACAGGACACTGCCGTCTGGGCAACCACATGAGAAGGATAGGTCTGCAACAAACATCGGACTGTCGATTCTGCAGCGTGGAGGACGAGTCTGCAGAGCACATTCTATGTATCTGCTCCGCTCTGGAAAGAACCAGGTTCCAGATCTTCAGATTTACCCGACTGGAGCCTACCGACTTTAGAGAAGTCTCACCCAATTCAACCATGACCTTCATCAAAAGGTGTGGCTTGTACGGTCAACTATAAGTTAGTTATGAGCCACAATAGACCCATCTGGGTCGCAGTGGAGGGCGATGAGATCATCCCACTCATTTTCAACCTAACCTTAGGGTTTTTTACATTACAAGATTGAAAAAAATTGTCAATATGAGCTGTCAACAATGTCTTCACACAAGCGTAGCATTGCGTTTTATTATTTTATTGTTGTTTCTCTTTTTGTCTATATTATTTTTCTTCAAGATTTCAAAACATTTCTTTTGAATCGATATTATCAATTTATATTATATACAAAATGGTGCTGCTACAAGTACAAGTTTTATACAGCATATTAGCACATACAACACCAGTTAAGTTATGTTATGCCCATCTGTGGTTACGCTTAAGTTATACCCATCAACATTATTGACAGTTGACATTGACATAGTTTTTTAACCCTTAAATGTTAAAAACCCTAAACTAAAAATATTTTTTTACGTTAAGTAAACGACATTAAAGTAGATAAGATAAAATAAAAATGTAACGAAAAAAAGCAGCTTCTTTATGTGAGCCGATTTTTTATGTCATTAGTATCAATCTTATTTTGTTAGGTTGATTGCATTGTCCTTGTATAGAAATCTTCTATTAAACATCATTTTTTGAATACCTAAACAGTTCTAAGTTAGCTAAATTAAGCATATCTTATTCAGATTTTGTATTTCCAGTGTGTAGAGTAGAAATTGTTTTAAAACAATTCCACTTTATCAAAAATTAGTTCAACACCTTGTATATTATTTAAGCATTAAGTTCGTTACAAATTTACCTATCCAACGATACTAACACGTTAGCCCATTATACATATACAGAGTGCCTCATCAGTACGTAATTGATCGATAGCTGTTTTATTATTAGAGATACGAAAAAAATTTTAATATTAAAGTTGTACGATTATATTTTCCAATTATTCCTAAATATACAGGATGGTCCATAAATGAGGGATGAACTAAACTTACACTTTTTAAACCAAACACCCTGTAGACCAGTTACAGATAACAGATTTAGTTGTTTTCACATAGTTAAAAAATATTTAATAGACTAAACATTCCTAAAAATCTTCTGCATTTTTATTCATTTGCTGTGATGTATGACTAAATACTAGATTACGATATTCTCAATTTTTTCACTTGCAATACCCTGTATATTATATCAATTTATAAATTAATTTCTTCACTTTTTCGCAAGATTATGATGGTTTTATCAAGAAAATTTACATATTTTTTCACATTTTTCTAATTGGCTTTTGAAAATATGGACTTATTTAGGGTAAAAAGCATAAATTTTTGTTAACCCATTTATCATAAATAATGGATGGTTTTCTTTCCCCCGAGTAGGACTAAAATTTAAAAAAATAATTTGGTATAACAAATAAAAAAGAAATAAAAGGCACTCTTGAAGAAATTAATAAATTCATTAATTGGTAGTATCACATACAGAATATTCCATTTGAAAAAATATAAGAATATGAAACATCGCCTTTTGACACACCGTATATACAAGATAATAAATGCTTGAAAATGCAAAACATTTTTAGGAACGTTACTTAAGTGTATCTACTTAAATTGTTTGGCGATGTGAAAACAATCAAATCTGTTATGGGTAACTACCTACAGGTTATTTGCTTTAATAAAGTATAAATTTGGTTAACCCCTCATTTATGGACTACCCTGTATATTTAAGAGTAATTATAAAAACATGGTCATATTTTTGTTTCGAATTTCCAATAATAAAACAGATATTTAACAATTACACAACAATGAGTTACCATGTACTCGTATATGTATAATAGATTAACATGTTGGTATCCTTGGATAGGTAAATTTACAAAGAACTTTATACT